TCGCTTACTCTTTTGCTCTGTTTGTCCACATGGCATACTGAGGTATGTTGCATAGAAAATGACTCATCAACCAACATCAGAACGTGTACAACGACGGGTTTTGACGCCACGGTCTCTATCATGGCTCCATCACTGCTAGGTCAAAGTTTTTGTGAATCGGATTTATGAAACATAGCCAACCACGGAGTAGAGGCTGTTCGTTCCCGTTCCCATCCTGCTTTTTTGTTAATCTAAACGGGGTAAAAAACTGCGATGCCCAAGGGAATCAATTGAACAATCGATCATGGGGAATTTAAGATTTAAAAGTGCTGCTTGTCATCCGGAAATTTCGCCCTTTGTGCTCCAACCGGACCGTTAACTTTGTAGACGTGGTGAAAAATTAACTAACTAATCTGTTTCAATTTGTCCCGCTCCCGAAAAATAAGCGCCAGTTAGCTTCACTATAGATCTATCTCCGAGGAAGTACTATTTCGAAGTTCTATAGTGGACAACTACTGGTAGCACTGACTGGTGTTTTGATAAAGGCCACTCATTTTCTATCTAGTCTACTGGCATTTTAAGGAAATCGTTTCACAGAAAATGAGTTGCGGAGATTTGTTCGATTAAAGAACCCTGATTAGTTTTTGAATTGGCTTCAACCTTTTGAGAATTCATCCGCATTCCGGGAATATCGAATATCGATCATCGAATCGGATCACGAACCACTGAAAAGCCTATGAGACACCCATTCACGCTGACTCGTAATAGATTGCTCCATACGCACAACCTTCACTGTGGTGTAGTAAGCCGTACATTCAATTCCGATCATCAATCGCTTCGTGAACGTGACAGACATTACACATTAAAGCGAGCTCTCATCACGAATGAGCAGGAAATCGGTGCCTGTCATTTGCATGTATTTGTTCAGTTTTTGGTCTAAAGTCGAAGTTTTATTATGGGAATAACCTATAGTTTCGTGCTGCTCTTGTCCCCATAGGATACTTAAACAATACGGAACGTCAATACTACATTCTCAGGCAGTGTTCACCCTCTTTATTGAATCAGGATATGAAACTGTCTAGATAATATCCTCCGGTTTTTAAATTTACCCGTTTCTCCGGAATTGGAGTAGTTCTCATTCAATACCTACATGAAAACTGCCTTCTTTCAAGTTATTCACATTTTATGAGCAGTAGATAGGACGGTCGATTTTAACTCACTCCCGGCATCCACTAAAATTACGCAGTTCAGTTACCAACTTGAAATGAAATAAACATTGCATCAACACAAATCCAACTAGAAGTGGTTCCTTTTTAACTTTTTTTACTCTAACCAGTACTAACTTTAATACTAAAAAATAACCTTCTCTTTCTCTGTATGATAAATCAGGATGGCCCAAAATCCAGTTTACCTTACTGTCTGTCGACCAACAACTGTCTGCATCAAAACACAGTCATCTCCCCGAGCCTATGGATCCAAAGCTTTCAGTAATCTCTTCCAACGCGGTTGTCTATCGCATATGAAGAAATCCGCATCAAACGACTCTATGAGGTTGGATTGTGCTAGTGGGTTTTATCATTCAGCACCCGGACTACCAATGACTCCTCCCGCTCCCGTGTACGGTACGGCAATTCTGTCCTGCATCGGTCCCTCCCAGCCGGTGCAACCAAACGGACCACCGGCCTATCCGGGGTTGACTATTCTACCGAATTCTCGTTCGCTTTATCAACTTTCCCCAAATCTTCAAACCCCACGAACCGGAACACCAATGTTTCCCACCTCGAAAACTGAGATGCATTTATGTGATGTGGCCAACGGGGCGGGAACCAATCAGCTCGCGGTCTCACAAGTACCTCCAACTCCTACTAATATTCCCATAGCCAAACCGAGACTGATTAGCCTTCCACCAGCGTGTAATGTGAGTTTTAATTTCTGTTTGATCCCGTCCTTTCCTCTTCGTCATGCGAATGCATTTGAAACATCTTCTGGCTGATACAGTAATACGCAGACTGACCGCGACATTTTATCATTTCATTTTCCTTGCCTTCAAATTTCCCTTTCGCAGTATCTGCAGTATCTGTAAAGTTAACCTGAGTAATAACAACGAAGTTACTACTGAAAAAATAGCCAGTAGTTTTTTGTACACAAAAAGTTATCTCGTGCATTTCAAGTGGCTTTTCTTACGGTGGATTAAAACACTCATTAATGACTATTAAACTGCATATGGAAATGGCTTTCAATTTTTCTTCCTGTGTGGTCAAATATTGCCTCTTCTCTTCATTTTTGTCAAGTGCAACTACTGAGTGGGGACCAGTTTTTTGGCACAACCAGTGACAATTTGTATCTGTTCTGATGATTTGTCCGGGAAATTTGGAGACAAGGAAGAGTATCATTTGCGATTTTAGACCTCTTCATAAGTTTAAAGTTTAATTCTTGACCGTTTCGATTCGAATTCATTGATTCATCATTTTCATCATGACTGTTAACGAGAAAAAAAGAATAGTCTGGCTTCCGAAGAGCAGAAAAGTTAACGAATGCAGTCTCAAAGCGTTGTAGTTTGCACTGACTGTAATGGATTTTGTGAATTATCTGATCTGCCACATCTAATGTCAAGTGCGGTAACCCGGGACTGTCTGCATGATCCAATCGCTTAATTGGGTGGTGGTGGCGCAGTGGTTTAGTCGCTGTCACCGGCGTGCTTTGCACCCTATGGTCCGAGGTTCGAGCCCCGCCACCGCCACCCGACTTTGGTGGTAGGCAGCTCTGCTGTCGTTCGGTTCAATACCACGTCTAACCTATCGGGGCCTTATGTGTTTCGCCAATCCAAGTTCCGGGGCTTAGGTTGTCGATTTCAACCACTGAACAGCAGGTCGTCGTGACTATGGGGTTTACCCCGTCTGCTGTTCACCACACCTAGGTGTGTAATAGAAAAAAAAAGAAATTCGGGAGGCTAACCAGTCAGCTGGAATGCAAAAATGTTTTGTACCTGTTACATCCGTATGTGGAGGAGGTGGGGGAGATTGTTTATTTATTTTTTTTTGCGAAAAGTCACTTTCTTCAGTTTCGCACACCGAATCTATGTGTGCCGACATGGATGTCTCACATGGTGGAGTAAAAGAGATCAAACAAGTTACATCATTTGAACACCTACTTAGCGACCGAATAGGAGGGAACGCGCTTCGGACAAAGAGGACTGTGTCACGTAGACTGTACAGATAGTACGAAACCGCAGGTCTCATTCATTACCAAGACCTGTTATGGAAACGAAAGATCACACACTTTAGGATTATGTCGAAATCAGACGGGATTCAGAATACCTAACGCGTTCTTGTACACAAAGCTCTTCACAATGTGATAAGGGTTGTCTGAAGCTATGGTGAAGTAGCAAATTGTTAGTGCTTACTGTTTCTCATTTTTCCAGATTCATGAAGGCAGAAATTTGGAAGAAGTTAGTTTAAGCGAAGAACTATGCGCCTATCCTTCCACGAGTCCACACGCCTCCAATATGAAGCCAATTCCAAAAGCCAACGAATTTAAAATGCATGGTCCTTTAACAGCACAGTTGACAATGGGCATAGGCGGTTTGGTTTTAAAAAACAAGGGATATAAACTCTCAATAATGTGGAAAGACCGACGCATAAGTGTTAGTTTCGTGGAAAATATTCAAAACCAATTTTCATACGGAATTGGTTCAATCAGCACTTGACCCAGCTGTTCTCAATTTGATTACTGTCCCGTACAAGTCTGATAGGATTTCTCTTTAGGGGATGCAAAAATGCAGATGGGTGCGTGTGTGCGGCCGCGCTCGCCTAAATGAAATTTCACTAGTTGGTGGTTTGTTTACGATGTGCGCGTGTGTGCGTGTGTGATGTGTTGAATTGTTGCAACCTCGTGGCGAATCATCGTGAGTACGAATTCAATGACCTCGAGCGCGAGCTTCCAACCAGATGACCGCGGGAAAAACGGGTCAACCTATTCCCATTTGTTTATAACACGATATAGCACAATCGGCACGTTTTGCAACGTTTTTGGGGCCGTGTCAGAATAAGTTTGCTTTTTGCTTTTTTTCTAACCTTCCGTTGGCAACCGTCTTTTACAAAAGTCTCATTCGCTATGCATTACCAGCCAAATGGGGTCACCTGGTTAGACATATAACTCGCTTTCGAATATCTTTTCCAAGCGAAGTCACATTTTCATAACCCCAAGGGTCACCAATACAAACCACAACATATAAAATCTCGGTTCGTAAAAACCGATGAGTTGAGACGTCCACCAGAATTCATTCATTACAGAACTTTAAAACTTATGACAGGGGTTTATTGAGTCAGAAGCGACTTATAGAACGGATTNGCTGATTTATTGATTGATTGACTACTTGATTGTTTGGTTGATTGATCGATAATTATTCAATACCGGGTTTACGATTTTTTTTCCTCTTACCATTTCCAGTAAATCTCTCTATAATTTTTAAACTGTCATACCCCTTAAGTTTTTCTGTTAATAGAAGAAACTTTATTCACTTTGTTCTTTACGGTTTCTTCTTCAGCAGAACACATATAATCGATCTGAGGGCTGTCGTACCAACAATACCGTTGAAAATGTCGGTTCCATAAAACAAATACCACCCAGTCCGTTGGCTTTAACCAGCCCTCGGCCGCCAAATATCTGCAGTCCAGTACCTAGTCCAACTGCCCAAACAGCCCCTACGTTTTCCATGCAACCGCGGTTTCCCTATCATGGCCTATCGCCACCATCATCCTCTGCATTGCCCACGGATCAGCCCATTGTTGACTGTTTAAAATACGTCAGCCATGTGAAACAGGTGGATTTTCGTCAACACTCACCTCGACTGGAACATTACGGATGTTTGAATCTGCTCGAATCCAACTGTTGCTCGAAAGTGGAACTGCTCATGTTCACCGATTTGCTCCTGATCGCGCAACGTGCTCCAAATCATTTTCTCACGGTGATCAAGGATCCGATCTACAATACGAAAATTTGCTACGTGAACATTCCGCCCAATGCATCGGGTAAGTGCAGATGCGATACGGCTGAAAACGCCATTCTCTTCCTTTCTCTCTCTCCTTGATTAAATCTTGTGACGATTGTCGCAAGGAATTCACGCACTCAAGCTCACCACTTACTGCATGCATATGATTGTTTGGCTATGTTATCGAAACCGAGCGCATTGGTATTCGACCAGTTTTTGACAGACGCCTTCGATGAAAAACAGAGTACTGGTGATTGCCCTTCCCGAGTGTTTAGATCGGCCGTGTTTGCATTTCTCAAGACAAATCACATAATCTCTATCTCAGGAACAGTACACCAGGACAGTACGGTTTGGCCAAGATATGATCAATACTATTTTTACAAACGGCGGACTGATTACTTCCGTATCAAACCGCAAGCACTAAAAGAATAGGAACTTTGAGTTCCTGATCATCTGGAGATTGTTGACAATCGCACTATATCCACTAACAACAAACTAACTACACCTTTGCCCATCTAGTTTTAGCCAAAATCTGCAATGCTTCAGCCCCAAACCATAGTCCTTTAGCCTCTACGTACAAACTGTAGTCGTGCCGCTATAGGTGGGTCAGACCTGAAAATATCGGAATGTTTTCTTGGTGAAAGAATGTTTAAACATTTTATTTTCTACACATGTTGATGTTGCAAAGCTTGGTTAACCCAAATGGGTGGGTGTAGCGATTGCATGTTGCACCACATATCGAGTGTAATGCAAAACGTATGGCATTTTCATTCAGAAGCCCTCGGTTTTTGAGATGTGGATACACCAACAGTCCATTTAAACACCGTTTACAACAAATAACCCCGTTAGTAGACTTTTTTTTGTTAAGCTTTAAACACTGGGTCCCCGTTATCTATCGTATCAAGACAGAAAGAAGACATATGTCGAGAAATGTTAACATTTCGTTTAATGTTCTCAGTCGCTGACGCAAAACAAACAAGCACATTGGATTTGTGAATCCTAGTGAACAGGCATGTATAGTTAGACAGGAGCTATTAGAATTTTTTTTAAATAGGTCAACTCCACGGCAAGTGAACTGATTGGATCAGCAACTTTTGGGCGCACAGAACGGGATTATGTAAGCTGATTAGCGACACCTCACTTAGTGCTAACAGCTTTGCATTACAGTAACGTAACAACGGTTTGAAAGAGGAGGCGGGATCAATTATGTGTTTGGTTCTCATGAGGTGTTTTACAATTGATGATCCCGGGTTACGTGTAACCGCCTGATTACTGGGCGTGGGTTGCATGAACGACTTGACCAACCACTTTGGAATGTGTTCAGCCATCCGCTGTGATAAATGACGGTTGGTTCTGTCTATGTATGCGTCACTGCAACTGCAGGTGAACTGATATACTGTGTGTGAGACAGAACTGGATTGCCAACCATAGCCCCTGTCTAACTGTACATGTCCGTTCATTAGCATTTACAAATCTAATGTGTTTCATTGTGTTTACGTCAGCGATTGGGAAGATTGAACGAAATTTTAACAACCCGATGTCAAGCTTTAGCCAAAACCTGCAATCCCCTAGCCTTGCCAAATGTTGCAGTGTTTGAAAACTGATGATAGTAACAGGAGTGCATTTTTGTGAAATGTGTTCAAAAATGAAGTTCACTTTAAGTGAAGATACAGAACGATAGGCCTTCACATTTTGGGTATCGGTTTTCGATTTATTTTAGGGTTTGTCGATGCAAAGCAATATACCGTTTAAGTTATATTTGAGATTCTTGCTCATAGGAATAGCACATTCTACATTCGAGATCCGCCAAATAGCCTGACTATATGTGGACATCGTTTAAACCTGCTCCAGTCAATATGTGTTGAGACATTTGATATCAATACGACAGTCTGCTGCCCACATTCTCATTTGTTAACCACGTTTTGCAAACATCAACATCTAAAGAAGAGAAAATTTCTCAACATTCTTTCACCTTCGAATATTCCAATACTTTTTGATCTGACGCACCTGTCGCGGCATGACAAAGGTTTGCGCATCGAAGTGAAAGGATTGTGGGTCAAGGCTAAAGCATTACCGGTTTTAGTCAAAGCCTGAAGGGAAACGTTGTCGAAGCTGGACTTTGGCTTACTGATTATGCTTTCAGCATCTAAAACCAATATCATTTTTTATGTATTCAAAGTAAAACCTTGTAATAGACCGTTTTTGCTTGTTCAACCACATACGACCAATAGTGAAGAGATATGTCCTGTCGAATCAATTTATTTCAATCTATATCTATATCAAACCGGTAGTAATCCAGGTCCAGAAACAGAGACGGACGGGCTGTATATCATGTAATAAGTTTGGATTTCAGTTCTCGTCAATTATTCTTCTCTTCATGATCATTAATATCCTGTATTGCATATTGTATTGTATTGTATATGTATATGTATATTGTATTGTATATGGATACTCACTTTAATAGACCAACTTATGTGATGAACAGCAGAAGGGGTGAACCCCATAGTCACCATGACCTACTGTTTAGCTTTGGAAACGGGTAATCTAAGCCACTGGACTTGCAGTGGCGAATCATATTAGATCCCACTTAGACGTGGTATGAACCGGCCGACAGCAAAACTGCCTACCACCAAAGTTGGGTGGCGTTTGCTTAGGTCGAACCTCGGACCGTAAGGTCCAAACAAATGCACCGCCACCAGCTAACTCCTATTTTTATCACAACAGGTTGCCAATTAAAATGTAACCCTCGATAACCACCGCATCGTCTAGTTTATGGAATCAGTAGCGGCGTCACACGGGGAAGCCCCTTTGTAAGCGTGATCAATTTCAGTTTGAACAACTACTGACCATGCGCTTTGGTATGCCACTTTTGGTTACTATCTTTGGCTGCCTATTTTTGATGAACTTCAGGAGTTAGACGCGAAGATTGAAAGTAGAGTCGAAGGGAAAATGGAGAATTTCAATGAACTATGGTTGTAAAACACTCGTGAACATGTACGAACGCCACTGTTTACGATTGTAGGCGTGTAAATCATCACTATAGAATAAACGTGAATAACCATTACTGAGTTCTATTAATTAACGCACCCGAAAAATGTACGCAACCTAAATTATCGCCTGCTTGGCTTTAACCATTATAAAGCAAAATCTACAGTGACATTCGGCTTCTATTCTGGTTGTGTTCATAAGACTCCCTAGTAACAATTTCGGCCAAATTTGATTTAATTTTAATTGCCCATGTGATCTCGTGTTGTACGCCGGGGGTGAATTACGCGCATAGACTGGAATATAATCTGATAGTTTCACTACCTAATGAAAGAAGCATCTATGGTTCACGTAAACATCATACCGGATATGACTTTGCTATTAACATCGAACTATTTGTACTATTTAAAAATAACATTATCAAACTCTCATGTATTTCGGAAGTACTTTGAAAGCTATACCTGAATAGCTACTACCGGTTATAGGTTAAAACCTTATATGAGAATTAATTCCTAGAAAAAAAACATTTGTAGTAGTATTAGTGGTAGTATTTTTGAATTATCATTGTTGTTGTTTTTCTTTTTGTCCTATTCTTGGTCATAGTTGTTGTTGTTGCTGTTGTTGTTGCTGCTGCTGTTGTTGTTGTTGTTGCTGCTGTTGCTCTTCTCGTTCTTATTGTATTCCTGACTCAAACAAAGCAATCAAGTATATCCCACTGATCATTAGTAGAGAAAAGAGAACAGAAATGGATGTACATCAAGCACTATGCCGAAGAACACAGTGAAATGTGTGCCACAGCGAACTGTCTACATGCTCAGCTGATTTACATGGTTGATCGCGCTTGAACGCTTTCAACCGTTGTTGTGCTTTTTGTTGTTTTCCACTGGTTTAAACAAGTTTATTTCGGCCGCGGTAGGTCACAGTGCGAATGTAATGCAAGCGGAAAATTGTGGAATCAATCACTTTTTAAACACTGTTTCGGGGAAAAGATTGATCCACTGAAGCGTTTGGCGTTGGCAGCCGCTATTCAAGCCCGGCCAGATGGGCTGAGAAAAATATTTTGAGTTCGGCAGTGTAAAATTAGGGTTTTATAGCCTTCTGAAATCTTTTTTCACTGATATTGTGGTTGCAAAATGGAAAGTAATAAATTTTGTGCCCAAGGACGACTAAGAGCTTACTCCATTGTGGTTTCCTTCCCAAATATTTTTCGATGGAAATATCAAGTTATCCCTTCGAACGGAAGATGCTTTTAATTTATTGCAGACATCACATCTTGCGCTTCTCGGGGTTGGGTCTCGATTAGAAAAATTCCAGTCGGAATACCATGAGAATCGACCAGGTCGAAACAACTGTGCACATTGATCCCTGGTTTTTCAGTTCGCGTTTCATTCACTCTACACAATAAAATTCAAAATATAAGTTATTTTTTGTTGATGTTGCATTGCTTTTATAGGTTTGGCACAGCTTAGTTAGATGCATCTTGAAGAGTATAGTACATGTTTACACATTCTGATAGGCCTGATGACCTATAACTTATGCGATGATTTTTCAGTGTGAAAAACGGATTCAAACTATTGCGTGTCTCCCTACTGTTGGTGCACATTTTATATTCACCGCAAACGGGGAAGAAACTAGGCAAAGATCAACAGCCATAGTGAAATTTGAACCCGCGTATGGACACCGCCTACGCCTTTGTAAACACCTGTTTTCTCTCTCTATATAAACATTACAACCGGAGGAACTTGCACTGCTATGCAACACCAATGTGTTTCATGCCGTAAGCAGTTCGAAATGAATCCTCAGCATGAGAATCATCCAAAAGACAATCGCAAGTACCGACCCGAATGTGACCGTTTCTCACTGAATAGAAATTGAGCACTCGGTGGGTTATGCTTTAAATGTGAAAAAACTTTTTTCCTGGTCTCTATGTAACTACTCAGTAGTTCGAAAGATGCTCTCACATTTTACCATCTCGTATTTCATTCTTACTAGTTGTGATGTACACTGAATAGATTAAGCGAAAGTACTCCAAATTTATCAAAGCTGTATATCAGCGGTTTTGTAAAAAAAAATTGACTACAGTACTGCTTTTAGGTTTCAAATGGGTAAGACCAATTTTACCAGTCCATAAGGAGGCTTTGATATATGCACTTTGAACAGGATAACACAACATGGAACCCTTCAGAGAAGAATTAATAATGATCGTGATAGATCATCAAGTACGCGTATGTCGTTGTGTTTGTGAAAAATTTATGAAGGCAGAAGGGGAAGAGACTTTTGGTAAAATAAGAAAGTAAAAAAACGTAAAAATATTTCATTGGAAGATGTCCATTCTGATATGATTGTGCGTCGAAAGTACAGTGATCGTTTTCTGGGTTAAAGTAAAATAATCCTTATGAGTAAATATGAAGATGAACGGTGATAGTCCGATGGTGTCTTCATCAAATTATCACCTCGAGGATGTGTTCGAATCCAAAGTCAAAGTCAAAGTGTTATTATGGGTATTACTTACAAGCAGATGCTTTTCTTGTATCTTGTAGTGTTTACACGAATTTTAACTCCAACAGTGATGAACAAAATTCCATATGCTGCATTTGGTTGTGTTTTGTGTTCTCATGGATGCTGGAATGCAATGTGTGTTAATGATTCGTCAAGTTTTACCTTGAAAGAATCAGTCGTATCGGCACATGCAACATGAGATGGTAGGGAATTCCAGGCAGTGCACACTCTGACGGCAAAGGAATGACGTCGGCAGTCCAGTCGAGATTTTTGGAGTACTAACTTGAATGGATGTCCCCGTAGGTGAACGTTTGACGATAACGTCAGAAGTCGGCGACAAGGGTGGTTTGGGCTGTGCAATATTTAGTACACCGAAATCAAGTCTCCTCGAATCCGACGATAATGAGCAGAGTGTAGACCCAACGACTGCATTCTCCCCATGTATGAATCATGATAGAGTCCTTTGACCATCTTCGTGGAGAGCCTTTGTGGACATTCCAAAATCTTATGATCACGTCGTAACCGTGGGTTCCAAGTTTGGATGGCATACTCAATATGCGGTCAGATGTATGCTGACAGCAGACGTAAGAATAACGATGGTTCAAAACGACCGAAAACACGTTTAAGTAGACCGACATGTTTGAGTGCTGTTGATGAAGCTCTGGCGCAGTTACCAGAACATCTCAGGTCTTCGTGGACTATAACACCCAAGTCCTTCTCTGTTGATGCATGATGCAGTAGTTCGTTTCCGAGGAAATAAGGAAACCGCTCATGGTGGCGTAGCGAAATCACCTTACATTTGGAGACGTTAAATTGGATGTCGTTCGCAATAGACCATTTGTGAGCTGCATTCAGTGTTTCCTGGAGGCCCAGCGAACCCCCAATTTCTGTCACTGTCTTCCAGATTTTGACGTCGTCTGCAAACAATATTGTTTTTGGTCCTAAGAAATTCGGTAGGTTGTTTATTAACAAGACGCCATAGAAAGGATGCGCTTAAATCCTCCTTGGGCACCTTGTTTTGTGTTGGGCGGGGTCATGAGAGTTGGCATACCTGGGATATTCGTGCGTTAAATGAATAAACAGAGTAGAACGATGTGCTCAGAAAGGTGTGAAATTTAAACAAACTGTTAAAATTATACCAGTCATTAGACCTTAGCATCCGAGAAAACTTGGTCACTGCTAGAGTCTGGCAAACGAATGTGAGGATTCCAGAACACAATCGGGATAGCGCAATAAACCGGAGTCTTTGTGTAAAAATAATGACTAAATCAAGTTATGATAGATTATATCAGAATGGGTTCCATCGGCAAATCTCGGAAGATTCCTTGCTCGGAGGATTAAAACAAAATGCTTTTCTAAATTTTCAGTTCTATTTATAATATTCCGCTAAAAAAGATAACCTAATCAGATTGGGGAACATATGCCATGCGAAACACTCAGAAGTAATAACAATGAAACTGTTACACAATCGAGGATGCGAGCTACTTGAACAGCGTAGATCAGAGCGGGAGAATGAATAATGAGAGAGTGGACAGTAACTAATTCGATTTGCGTACTAATCAGAAGACGTGAACTGAAAACAGTGGAAGCTGTGTACAGCGCTTTTGAACACCTTAGTGTCTCAGCGGTAATGCGCGAAGCCATCGACCCAACTGAGGATCACAGACCTGTTATCTTACGGGTAGAACGTAAGCATACCTTTCATTGAATCAACAAAGCCAGATTTTTTCGCTGTTTATTTTCTCTGGCGTGGTCCTTGGTTTGTGATCCTCACAATCAAATGACTTTAAAATGCAAGAGCTCTGTCATTTCTGACTTCCAGGGTATGGTATTTGTACTGCTGAACGTGGCACATGAGAGGAATGTGCAAACACAGCAAACAGTTTTGAGCTCAAAAACATGTGCTTTTTACTTTAAACAACTTCAGCCGGTAGCTCAATCTTGAACAGAGTGCGCATGGCGCGGTTCTCTTGATGCATGAGAAAATTATAACTTGCACGTTGTAAACTTTTATTCAAAATGCTACCTAGAAGAATTTTTCTGATGAGGTTTCAGTTCTTTGGGACGCCTTTCTTGAGATAGATGCGGCTTGATTTTTTCTTGAGTCATTTTCCAAGATCTCCCATAGTTTAAAAGCTAATCTTCATAGTTAAAAATCCGTTATCCAGAGAATAACAGTTTTACTCAATGTATACATAGGGACATGTAACTTAAACTGTTAAATAACAAAAAACCCCAGAGTATTGCCTCAATCGTCAATTGACCTCATGATTACCCTATACAAGGCTCCTTGTGTGAATATACATTTTCTGGACCTCTTTATGCTATGTTAGCTAAAATCATTTGTATGTGATAACAGACAAAGAGTACTGAACAGCTGTTACGTTCTGTTAAAGACTCGTCAGCAGTGCGTACATCTTTGCGTCCCTGTCAGGGCTCGAACAGCGAACATTTGGGGTGTGACTTTAAACCCTAAGCCCTGAGCTACACGGTGGATGGTTTTTACCTTGTGCCAATGGTTCAATCAATTTCTATGGCGAATGTTTGGATTAGCCTGGTTTCTGATCCCTGCGAATTACTGAATAGGCTAATCCAAACATTTGTCTAAAATCATTTGTGCTTTAACCAAGTTCCTTAACTGATTTTCAAGGGCTAGATTGTATTTAAATACTGCGTCTATCACATTTATCGATATTCCCAACATGAGGATCAAACTGAAACCACGCTGGGAAATTCAATTACAAGTGACAACTGTGGGCATTCACACTGGAATTTCCAATCTGAGCGATACCGGTTTTAATTACTTATGAGTAACATACTAGTGATCAGACCTGTTCGAGAAGCAGAATGGTGCCAGCCATTTTCGTCTCAAGTCTTAAACTGATGTTGAACAAGATACATCCCGAACGTGAGTGACAGGAACGACTTAGACCAGTGGTGATTTGTTCTTCGAGCTGGAAGTGTTGTTCGTAGAATTTTCGTAGCTAGGCTAGGCAACAGCTTCAGAAGTTGCACTAAAAGCTTGTATGTAACTCGCTAAAGCATGAATACAACACTATACAATACGATACGATACAATACAATACAATCGAATAACAATACAATATAATGATCAATGATAACCTATCGATTACCACTTGGCCCGTCCAAATTACGGAGTCTGCACAGCTTAACGTGTGTGCACACGACACATGACCATCTCAGTACAAAGTTTTTGTGGCCTGACGGAGCAGTGATAGTCAACCGCTGGTCAACCGTCAGCTCACGCTCCAAATGAGAAATGATTTCCATCAAGAAAATAATGACAGCTAATTAAATTAGTCACCTGTTCTTCTCCTCATGTTCCTCCGTCTCCCTTTTCCCCTTCCTCGTCTACTATTTTTTTGCACAGATCAATTGATTTTGCAATATATCGACGATCACAATCGTAAACAAATTGTACACTTTCAAGGCTCCAATGTGCGTGAGTGGTTGGCTTGGATACAAGGACACATGGTTTACAATGGCAATTGGTGGATGAGCAACATACATTGTCCAGTGAATTTCTGAACCCCATTCTGATGTGATTGTTCCACTCCGTCAAAACGATGTACAACAAGATAAACTTTGAATGTCAAATAGTTCTATAAAATGATGACTTCACAAAGCATTTTCATTTGTTTTTGTGATTTTTGTGCGCAACAGAGAACAGACCTAAGAGTGGGGATTAAGTTGTTCCACCAGCGATGAAGCAAGCTATGCCATAGTTATAACGCAACCTAGACTGTAGTTTAGCAATCAACGAGCATTGTGAATAAAATCCGCAAATAACATTCACAACCGGAGACTTCATCTAGCCAAAGCCCGATTTACAAGTCAGCAGGTCAGTTTGCGGAAACCAAAATCCATGCGAGGGGGGGGGTCGGTGTTCAACTCGTCAAGTCATAAGTCTTTTGGATGGAATCAAACGTTCATGTTTGGTTTTGAATCCAAGCTGTTCGTAAACTCCCCTACGTGAATTATCAATGGTTCACCAAACCGGTTATGGCCCCGGATGTTGTCTTTTTGGCGTCTCACTTCATCCTCATTGCCTGAAAGTTTCATAACTGCAGTTTTCTTGTTTTCCCTCCTTCTCTCCGCTTCATCATATTAGCATGATGACTATTAAAATCACGAACAAAAGGAAACTTCACGCAACATCTTTGAAATAAAGCTTATTGAAACGTGGTTACGAAATTATATCACGAACTAATTAGAATTCGAAATGGTTAGAATATTTATTGGCCCATAGTGGATTTTACATTCACCCAATTGGTCCAATAACTAACCAGAATTTGATGTTTCTTACAAATTTGTCACTATGCAATCTAATCCAACCCGGTTTGTCAGGAGGTAGAAAGAAGCCTTTGCTCTTCGGTTTTACTGTTTCTGGCCAGGTTTCGTCAACAGACCGAACCAGTTGTATGCTCTGAGTTCCGCGACTGTCCGAAATCGAACACGGTTTATGGATGCAAGTGGCAGAAGAAACAGGGTGAAAATATTCCCACAACCAAATCGATGGGCGGGGACTTGAGAACATAAAAAATTCCGTTTGTAACGCGCACGTCGTGCTACGTAGCACAATTCAAGATGGAACATTAGACGTTAAGAGTACTTCTTTAGCGTTTCGTCTCTTGGTTGATCTAGTTTGCAGACATGGAATGTATGCTGCTGAATTATTGTGTTGCGATAGGTACATCCAGATGTGCACAGCTCTACTGGTGACAATTCTGTTCTTATATTTTTCCGGCTTCTGTGTTTTCAAGTGATGCTGGTAATCTCTAATTTTCTTCGTTACCATTCACTGGATACTGATATCCGTCGGGGTGCAGCGGGTATGAGTAACTGCAATCACAAATTACCTGCACGATTATATAATATTTCATCGATCAAGGATTACAGACTCTGTATTCAGGAGTAGAAAATTTGGCATGTTCCAGCCCCCCGCCCCCCCCTTCCCGTTCATGTACACGATCTGTCACAACTGAGTTCAGATCCAAAGAATTATTATTATTATTATTATTATTATTATTATTTTGCAAAATTCCGTGACTATTGACATAAAAAGATTCAATTTCATTATTTGACTGAGAAGTCTATCAGTCCGTGATATCTTTCGCATATTTCAAGCGAGCAGACTTCCAGTATGATATTTAAACTTAGTTGAAAAATCAAATTCACGTTCGCCTGATCGAGGTCCTTTCTTCTGAACCTTCAAAAGAAGCTTCACGTACAATCGGATCAGGTAAGTTAGAACATTAGAAACATTTGCCAATCATACCGATATATGGGAAGGCAGTTAGAACAGAAAGTGAACGTGTTTTGTTGAATTTAAAAGAACTACCTGGTAAGCAATTACGCGGATATGGTATCCGAATGCAAGGGATCTTTGAACCCGCATCGAGAAAATGACAAATTCGATCAGTCCAGTTCTGTCATTAGTCATTACACTGGACAGAAATTTGAAAAATATGCCTCACTCCTGCCTCACTCTCGTTTTTCATGACTGGTCAGGCACGTGAAGTGTTTCGGTTCGGGAAACGTTGGTCGCGGGCGAAGTAGACTAAGAACAAGTGAAGTTTCTAGGATGAATAACGGTGCACAATCCGAAAACGATTCCATTGATTGCCAACTTTCTAAGCTAACCAATTCGTCCGTTTCATATGACTTTTCCTCTCATTTTTCGAAGAAATAATTCACTCTGTGAGGTCAAAGACATGCTTTCAATATTTTGATCCAGATAGAGTTTGATCCATCATTTCTCAATCTGATCATATGTTTTTTTTTCATCGTTACTTTCCTAAGTATTACCGGTCATCCGAGGTTAGTAGGCAATCTCCTTGGACTAAAAATGTAAGCTGTCGTAGCGCAATGAGACACCTGCAGCTCACAGTACAAGAAACTGGACCCAACTGGGCCCGTTTCACAAGTTCTGTGACCTAACCTTACCTCCAGTTCAGTTCAGTTCTCACAAGTAGATTTGTGGCTCTTGTCAATTAAGCGTCCAGGTTCGTGTGTTGTCGGCGAGTTTCCTTGTCTTCCAATACTTCGGTGTGCAATTTCTCTAAAGGGCAGAATATAAGCAGAATTGATATTGGCTATCAACGTCGCATGTTCTCAATCAGCTGTCTGTGTAACTTAAGTAAGTTGGAATGTTATAAGATAAAAACTATAAATAGACATACACATCGACCCGGGGTTCAAGCGTAAAAAATTGTTATCGAGTCATTATCAAAGTCACCTGGTGATGGATGAACAGAGATCTGGATGCTGATTACGAACAGTCCGAAAAGGGAAATGCTGGCATAGAAACAGTTACGTAATGAAAAACGATTAACTGTGGAGGAATGAGAGTTGAAAATAGTTACGTAATACCATATAAGAGAACAGTCCACTTATAGATAAATGAGTTAATACGGATATAAATAGGTAACGGAATAGAAAACTCGTCAATCAA